CTATGAAGATGACACCTAACCCTACCTGACCCCCCCTTGACGACACCATGGTTTCTGCTCAGTTCTCTGCATGCCTTGCTGAAATCACAACCTGGATGAAGGATCATTACCTCCAGCTAAATCTCTGAACTGCCAGCCCTACCATCCACTAGGGATTGGCGATATGGCCAAAATGCCATATCACGATATTTTTGGCTACAATTATGATCCATGATATAGATCACAATTGTTTTTAGAATGTACGTTGTAATGTTATTTAACCACTTAATCAGCAATTCACTTCTTACAAGAAACACTGCTAGTAACATAAAAATAATAAGCCAAATTATTAAAGGTATGTAAAATACTGTACATATAAAATAAACTGACTCCTTATAGCAAAAGTGTTTTTTAATTTAAGTTTTAAAAGTTTCATGTACAAATGAACATTGTATCACTTTGGTCAATAACTGAACACTTCTGAACTCAGTTTACAAATACAGAGAGTGGCTCAGTGGGTTGAGCCTCTGCCTGTATTTGGAAGGTCACTGATTCAAGCCTGACTGACAGAATAGACATGTCTGGGGGCCTTTGAGCAAGTTCGCTGCCAAGCTTGCTCTTGCCTAAATGTGCATCATGGAGAACAAGATGGGGTAGGCCAGAAGAGAATATTCCCCATGGGGAACAATAGAGTTCTATTATTTCAGTATCAAACAAATAACAGATAAAAAAGAATTAAATAATAAATGTAAGAGTTAAAAATTTTGCATCACTAAAAAGCTTTTAATGTAATTTTTTTCTAACTTCTTAGCTAACATCTTTAAAAAAATTATGCCGTCCCATACAGCTGGCATGGCGTGACTCAGTGTTGACTGAGAAATACCCGATCGGTCCGCAAGTTCTCACTGAAAAGCACTTGTGGCTAAGAACCTGCGAGTGGACAGAACTTGTAAAGGAACAGGTATAGCGCAATTCCTCATCGTCTGCCTTTGTAATGCTGCCCCCAGTTCAGCACACAGCTCCAAAAGGATTGCTCTTGGAGATCTGAATCGACATAGAAGCCAGTCATCATCATGGGCCAAGAAATCAATATGATCCCTGAATATACGCTCTCTTCTAATTCTTCCATAAGCTATGTCTTCCAATAACGCAAGAGTTGCCATGGTAGTTGTAATAGTTCGGTAATTTTCTACACTGTTTTATTGTTACAAATTGATTAAAAATCAGGAGCCGTACAATTAATGTCGGTGTATTGGATAAAGTCAGCGTCATGATTGCGAGTTTAAAAAGGGAAACCACATTAGCAATGACTTGCCACTGAGTGCTGTCCGTTTACAAACCTGTGCAGAAACGTGCGTACGCCATGTCCGGAGCTGCCGTGAGAATGTGCGTAGCGGTACGGCAAGTTTCGTTTTTATAAACCTCGACATGAGCGTGGAAACGGATGTATGCAACATTTTCATGCATTTATACATGAGGCTCCAGGTCTGTCGTCTTCTGTGATTCCATAGATGGTCTCCAAACATAGTCTGAAAGCTTTTACTTTTGCTCTTCTCATTCATAGAATACAGTAGCTCTCCTATTAGGTTCTCGCTTTGTCTATAGCGTATTGTGTAGTCCTTGCACCAGCTTACACTTGTTGCCGGTCATTCATTCGAAGCTCACCCTGACCACACTTATGTCCAGCTGTATGCTTCTTATGTACTGTAATGTAATCTGGCTCTATCACAAAACATCAGCTAAATAAATAAACATGATGTACTGTAAAGGCAGACACACACGCAGACACACAGAAGCAGGAAGGCAGGTAGAAGCTGGCTGGGGGTGGGGATTCCCACCAACCGGCCGATGCGGGGTATAACCTATAGGTTGGCAGCCACACCGTCCTGGGTCAAAAAGACCCCTCTCCCACATTAATACCATCACCGCACTAAAGGGAACCGTGGATAATCCACATACATGTGGGGGGGCAAGGAGTGGTAACAGTCCAGCACCTGGCGTCACTGTGCGTGGCGGGGGGTGGGGGGGGATCCAATCAGAGACGCTCTGCTTACAGACCGTAACACACCTCAGGATGAGTGAGGGGCTGGCAATCCATCACCAAGAAAATGCGTAGCTTCAGTTTACCGGGACTGTGGAGAGGCCAGAGAGCATGGTGGGTGGGTGGAGCCTTCAGTTTCATAAAAGCTGGAACTCCGCTACCAGAATGGCAAAACTAAGACTAAAAATGCAAATACTATGACAGAACATGGCAAAATGAAGAGCAAGATAAACCACACGGTAAAAGTATGTCACAGACAGATGAACAGAGGATCCTCTAACACTCTGTTCTGCGTTCCCAAAAGCAGTAAGGCTGGAACAGTGCACAGCTCTGAGAGCCCAGGACACTGGGCACAAAATAATGATAAACAAAGTAAAAAAAAAAAAAAAAGTGATTTAGTGTCGTAAGAACACATATAAGAAAAAAATCCAGATGGCATGACAAGTAATGTAAAAGCATTTTGTTGAATATACTAACACAGTATGCATATAGCATGCTGTCCTAGTGATGTGATTTTGTTATGAATATAATGATGTGATTTTGTTGTAAGAAATATTGGGGTATTTATAAAACAAAAAAAGGAGTCAATAAATTTCTTACAAATCCGTCTTCAAGTGATTTAAACAGCAAGGATGAAAATAATTACTATTGTCTCGGAGAACATACGCAGCGTTCACGCAAAAGCAGCAGAAAAAGTTTAAACTGATTCTTAAACATATAATAATCTATAAAAAGAATATTAACTAAAATCGCAGAGCTTCCTACATTTTTTTTCTTATGACAGAGTACCACAGTACAAATATTTCAGTGAAACTTTAACAGTACCAGTTTTTACACGAGTGGAAAACCAACACCTTGAAGTACCGTACTTTTGGCACCTTCTCGAACTACCAAAAGTACGGTACCTGGTGCGGAGGAAAAACCCCTTTTGACTGTGGTGCAGAGGTATTTCATGGGAGCACCACGGACAGTCCACTGGAGGGCCTGATGTAACCAATCAGGGCTCGTAACAGCCCACTGGAGGGCCTGAGGTAACCAATCATGGCTCGTAACAGCCCACTGGAGGGCTTGATGTAACCAATCAGGGCTCTTAATGTGTGGGCAACAATGACGGTGAGGCTAGAGGTCCCTTTGTCAATCTGATGCAGAGTGTGATGCGTGGGAAGGGCGGGGGGCGCGTGGGGGAACAAGCTACGGCCTGTCTTAGACAGACCAAGGCCAGAATCTGCCCTCTCATGGCTATGTGGTTAGCTTGTTATGGGGCCAAGGGCCGAAAGCTGGTCTTGCGTGTCACTCAGCTTCTCTTGAGGGCCCGGCTCAACCGCCCAGGGTCCCACACCCAACGTCCCCAGGGTCCCACACCCAACGTCCCCAGGGCCCCACACCCAACATCCCCAGGGCCCCACACCCAACGTCCCCAGGGTCCCACACCCAACGTCCCCAGGGCCCCACACCCAACGTCCCCAGGGCCCCACACCCAACGTCCCCAGGGCCCCAATGCGAGCCCCACCTTTGCAAAAAGCCCGGTTTCCTGCACAAGCAGCACATTCCTGCCTGCAGCTCAGGCATGCGACGCTGGCCCGCACGCGCGTTGCGACATGCTAAGAGTAAGAGAGCAGTTGCATAAGAGCCCAGCTGGAGTGTGTGCTTCCTCATCAGCACGGAGGAACCATTTACTGGGAGCAAATATATAAAATGTCTCAAAAGAAAAAATAAAAAAACTGTATGACGGATCCTCAGCCTCCAGTGAGGAGGCTCAGCAGTTGCTAGGTGACCCAAAGCCTGCTTAACACCCCCTTGTGTGCTTGGGGGTCCTGAAACAGCGTCAGAGCACCGAATCAGGCAGCTCACTTCAGGTGCAGTTTGTTTACCCCAATAGTGAACCACACAACCACGCACAGCCACTGCATCCGATGACAATCACACTGCTACCACTGCAGAGGTGCAGAAAAGCAGGAACCACAAGGCTGGATCCCAACCTGCAAGCTACACGCTGCAGCATTTACACTGAGCTGCAGGCCCATTGCACACCGAGAGGCCTGATGTGTAAGACTCACCATGAATCAATGCAGCACGGAAAAGTGAATGAACCCATCAACAGAGCCCTAAGCCCCCCCCCCCCCCCCCGAAAGATGGGGTCTCTGGGCTGCCGGCTGGCCACCCATAGAATAGCACCAGTTATTCATAAATGAAAGCAGCGAGTTCACACGACATGAATGAGAAGGCACTGTGCTTGGGTTTCTCCTGACAGCTGGATGGTGCACTTCCTTACACTCTGCTGGCTTTTGGGTCTTGGACTGACAGTAAGTATTTTCACTCAAGGTCACAGGAGGGAAATTTGGTACTTTGATGTAAACCCCCCTCCCCCGAAAGGTAGGCGCCCCAAAGACAGGCCCCCCCCAAAGCATAACCAAACAAGATCAGACAACAAAGACCATCATGGCTCCATCAGGGACATCAGTAAAATCCTTCATCTCTGTGGAAGCACAGGGGATTGGGGGGGGGATACAGGGCAAAACCAAAGCTTCCGTCTCTGGTCATGGTGCCACATAAAGGTCCTCGATTGCGCTGTACGCGGGATCCATCTGGTGCAAACTCACGGCAGAAAACAAATACATGGGAATACCGTGTCATCACGGGAATACCGTGTCATCACGGGACATGGAAAGAGACACACATCTCCCGCCATCCAGACCCAGGGAAACGCGTGACTCATGTGAAGACCTGGCCATTCAGCACCAGAACACAACCCGCGCATGAATGTCAATTTAACAGTACAAGTGTCAAAAGGAAATGACTAGTCCAGCAGATTCACATCAGATCGAAAGAATAACTGAGAGGATTAAAACCTAACGCCCAGATATAAAAAATAGAAGAGGACTGAGTTTAAAAGATGAATATAAAATGTATAATGGACGGCAATGCCAATGACTCACTCACCACACCGGGGCACCGGCCATGTTCAATAGGAGTGACTTACTTGAGCCAGTGGTTCCAGGGTGTCCCACCTCCACATAGACCTCGAAGGTGGACTGGGGGCTCTCCCTGAAACAAGCATGAAGGTCAGAGGTCAGTGGGCTCTCCCTGAAACAAGCATGAAGGTCAGAGGTCAGCAGTCAGTGACTAACCAGCTGATCCCCACTGCCATCAGGGATGTGCAATTTGCTGGTGATTGTTACTGCAGGGGTGGGGAACCTGATCCATGGAGGGCCGGTGCGGGTTTTTGAGATGGCCTCTCAATCAGCCAGTAAGAGTGGGTCCCCAGCACTGGAGCTGAGAACCACTGCTTTATTATTGGCTGATTGAGAGGCCATCCCAAAAACCCGCACCGGCTCTCCATGGGACAGGTTCCCCCCGTCTTAGAGGAATGGCATAAACAGGACCCAATCCAGGGAAATGTCCGCTGGGGGTGTCGAACCTACATCCCCCACATGGGCTTGGAGTCTGATCCACAATCCATTTTATTCGAGTCCCTTCTCTCATATTCATTTTCAGACCATATTCAGCCAAATTTCACCAGGACCTTGCTTAACACCTCTTAACCATTTACTGACCACTCCTTAACCACCATTTCTTGAACAGTATGCTCCTAAATTTATTTTTTCCTTAAAGAGTAAATCCCTAGCTGGGTGATGCAGATGTTTTGCCCAGAAGAAGACACATCACCATAGTACCATTCCTTACCTGCAAGGTGACATTACAGGCCAGGTCTGTGCCTCTACCTGGAGGTTGCATCTCCGCTCTGGAGAACATGTTTAACCTTGGTGCTGTTCACATGCAGCATGACACAAGAGGATCCATTCAAACGTAAGACAACTATTTTAAAGCCTCCAAGAATAGGACACTAGTTCTTTTCTTTAATCTGTTCACCCTGTCGATGCTCCAAATGCAGGAGAATCATTTCAAAATGTATCCATTTGAACTGGTGAATTTTAACAGCTGTGATAAAACGCTCCCATTGATGGAAGTTTAGCCTGCTGTGGCATCCCAGCACAGTCAGTAAGTAAAGACCCCTGATTCAGCTTTGCTGTGAGTTCCTGCTCTGGTTGACTCCAGTCATACTTCAGCTATTGGGCTTAACCCTGTGAGGCTTCCAAATGGAAAAATATCACATTTGACAAATATAGATCTGATCCATGAAATAAGTAGAACAGTCAGCACCCCTGGGTTATGACACGCAAGATACGGCAGGAGGGAGCCGCTTCGTAACGGAGCTCACCAAGCACGGAGGAGAAAAGCAACACAGATCGCCATAATGGAGCAACAAATATCCACAAGTGAACCCATTCCCTTGCAAGCAGGCAACTATTATTTTATCTTCAACTTTCGTAAGTGAAACAAGCAATTTCCCTGAGTAAAGATGCAAAGTGAGCTTCTGTAAGCACCTAATCACAGAGCTTGCGGCTACGGTTTCCTGACTGCAACACAACCTTACAGTATCTTACATTAAAAAAGCAGAAGGGCTCTAAGTACTGTACCAGCCCTATATAAAGACAGGCAGTGGTGTCCTGATTACAATTAGAGTGCAGTGATCTGATGACAAGCTGTAAGAGGATCCCCTGAAGGTGGACTGGCACCTTCACAGGCAGTTAAAGCATAAAAATACAGTCAATGATAAAGGGCACACAGAGCTGGCATTCATTAAACACCCCTGCCTTTATCATCATTTACTTTGGGGATTCAAAGCCATTACAACTACAGCAAGTATCCCCAGCAATGTGTAATGATTCAGTATTCCAGGTTCTTTATTGTCATCTCACCAAATAAGGATACACGCGCAAATACATTTGTAAATCGTGCCCCACATGGCCATCATGAAATGTCGTTTTGCAAGTGCAATTTTGGATGAAGAAAAGATCAACTGAAATAAAAAGCTAGAAAACGTATCGGCGCATCAGTAGCACCTCTGTCAATCAATCATGAATCCAACATAGACACAAATATTTAGAATAAATAAACAATACATGTTTGCATGCACGCACAGCTCGCCCATACAGATTAAATATACATACATATACACATGCATACAAATTGCACAAGACCAGAACATCAGCTGCTCTTAGGAACATCAGCAGCAATGGCGAACAAATACGTGCAATGGTGGGCAAGGACAATAAGCCCAGGCATTAGAGCATAAATAAGGTCAGTAAGTCCCGGCATTGCAGCATGAACAAGGTCAGTAAGTGCCGGCATTACAACATGAATAAAGTGCCGCTACATTTAAGTCGGTCGCAACAAGTCCAGGCCCCGCGCTGTTCTCTTCCCTGTCATTCTTGTAAACAGCTCTTCTGAAGGACGACACCGAGGCAGAGGAAAGGAGACACTTACCTGAGCCGAGACCCCATTTTCAGCTTTCACGGAAGCCGGGTGTCGTGCTGCGGACGAGGGGTGTGGATCGGTTATTCTAACCGTATTTCTATAACACCCAGTCAGACGGTCCGGACTAACGCCATGGTCTCCATGCGCAGATCGCGGTGCCGTCGCCACTCCGTTGGATTCTGGGTAATATAGTTTCTTTCCTAGACCCCATATGCTTTCGCGTGATCAGACTCGTGAACAAAAAACTACACAGGCCACAATCCCATTTGCTCGAGGCTGTGGGAATCGCGTGATGTGAGTCGCTTTTCTGTGGATTGCAATAGATGCCAATTAATAACCCTGAAAGTTGCGTAAGAAAAACTATTTCGTTTCGTTAATGTCGATGTCATGTTAGGTCAGTCTTTACAGGAATTAAACTGTCAATATTGGACTTAAACTTGGAACATTATAATTTATAACCTGTTTCATAGTTTTTGGGGAAAAAAGTCATAAAGAAATGAGTGCACGTCCATCTGTCATTAGACAAAGACAAAGTAATTAATGAAAATGTCAGATTATTTCGGATTTCTTCTATGTTCTGTGTTCTAGTACCGGTGTTCTGTCATAACATGCTACCTATCGAGACGTGCTATCGAGCCTTTCTGCGCATGTGCAGTTCCACCGGTTTGGGATTAGGGTTAGGTTTTAGGGGTTAGGGTTAATGTAAGGGCTTTAGCGGGTTTTGGGGGATTAGGGTAAGAGTTAGGGTTAGGGCTATCGATTAGCACTACGGTAGCATTTTTAGACAAGGCAGCATAAATCAACAGAACACCGGTCCTAGTCGATGTGGCGCCCTAGGCGAACATTACCGCTGGCGCCCGCTGTCCGAGATTGGCAAATAGGCGCTCACTCCGACGTTGGCGCCCTATAGCGGTCCTCTTATGTCGCCTATAGGATTGACCGGTCCTGTGTGTTAATTAAGGCATCTACTTACTTACGCACGGTTTAACCTTTGGTTTAAAAAAACGTGCAACTTGACCACCCGGTTTTATGACTTGAGGCTGTTCTTCCCAGCAAGTAACCAGGATAGAATAATTTAAGTTCCCAAATGTTCGGATATACATATGAGTCATATATCTATCCATCTGACAACAGCTTTATCCATTACAAATGAACCTGCAGTGACGACTCTTATCCACCTCATGAACCAAAGTTCTGATATAATGTGACTTGGGCACATTAGGGAAGTGTGGGTATTCCAGCGGCGTCAGAAATAAGGGACCCCCATCCCTTCCTTCCCCATAAATAAATAAATAGGCCTACATAATCAACAGCATGATACTTATTTTTTATGAATATGCATTACCTAGGAATTGCTGCGCGTGCAGAGTGTGAGGATAAAGTATATAGGCTAACCTAACAAAGACTGTAGTCATGTATCAGACAAAATCAGTTTATCATATGGATCATTTCATTTCTGTCAGGGTCAGCACCCCTCTGTCCGAGTCTTTTGTGTCTTCTCCCCCTTTGGCCAGCAGGTGTCGCTGGCTATCCTGTCCTCATCGTAAAAGTCCTTAGTGTATTTCCCCTGCTCCCTAAATATCCCCATGGCTCAGTGAGCTGAGTCTGTGGTCACTAAACCCCTGTGTTCAAATCTCATCTTCTCTGTTTTTGTAGATTTTGTTCCCTAGTTTTTCATTTTCATCAGTTGTCTAGTTCCTGTGTTTTGTAACTTGTATTTGGTTTTGGTTTTTTGCTTTATGCCCATGGTTGTGTTTTTACCTGTCTGTTATTCCCCTAGTGTTAGATTCTGTTTCTTAGTTTCTCTGTTAAGTTTGAGTTCCTTGATTTAATTAATCGTTTCACCTGTTGCCTGTTTTCTTGTGCCAGTCCTTGTGTGTTCAACCCTGATTGGTTAATTATTAATTTCTCACTCCTACTAGAAGGTATACTTATGGTGCTTTGTCCAGCCTTATGAAAGTAGACCTATCTTTTGTAGAAGGTATACTTATGGTGCTTTGACCAGCCTTATGAAAGTAGACCTATCTTTTGTAGAAGGAATACTTATGGTGCTTTTCCACTGCCAGCAGGGACTGAGCTGTACCCATCACGTACCATGAGCTGTCGGTTTTCAATTGCAAAGTATGCGAGCCATACCAACCTATACCTGTATGGACCCCGTGACCAAACCAAGCTGGGGACCACAGGACGGGGCCTGGAGAGCGACGAGGGGACCACAGGACGGGAGCTGGAGGACGACGAGGGGACCACAGGACGGGGCCTGGAGAGCGACGAGGGGACCACAGGACGGGGCCTGGAGGGCGACGAGGGGACCACAGGACGGGGCCTGGAGGGCGACGAGGGGACCACAGGATGGGAGCTGGGACAAACACAAGGGCAAGAGGGTGACAAGGAACCTCATTCTGGGTGGCTAGCACTTGTTCTGCAAGTGTGCGATCAGAGGGTGGTGCACAACATATATCTGCTAGAGATACGTTTAGAGAATATGTAGAATATAGAGCGCTGATAAAATAAATTATCATACCGTATATAAATAGGCCTGTATATCAATATCAATATGATGGGTATAAAATAATTGATATTACTCGATTTTCTGTTTGCTGTTCAATCATAGGGATTTACAGTAAATGGAGTTTTGCATGCTGTCCTGGATAGAGGTGCTTCTGTAGTGATTTTTCAGGAAGCATTTTTCAGGAAAATTAATTTCCTTAGTCGATGGGGCAAATGCGCGGTAACAAAACAAACACAGGTAAGGTACTATTTGTCCACATGGGATGTTTAGTTTACAGAAAAAAACTGCAAATGTATTTGACTGAGAGGGTTTAGAACCCGTGGTAAATACCTGTGAGGTGAATATCATTGATCCCTGTAATATCATATTTCATACACGCCTCCAGACATACTGACAACGCGATGTTTAATGCATTACGCTAAGGTTATTCCAGACAAGAGATGTAGATGATGTAATGAATATGCATTTATTCAATTAAGGGTATTACACAGTTTAATTTGCATATGGGTTTAGCATCTTATTGAACTGTTCTGTTCGCGCTGTAAAATTCGCCCTTTCTGCTAAAAGCGGTGCTTAAATTTAATATTCTATAGCATGTTAATTACAAAAGCGCAACTACCTTCCTGTGATATAAGATAATATGGTTAGAAACTCCGAATTCTAAACGTTATGCATTAAATAAAGCAACGCGGAACTGACGGTATGCTCTGCTTCCGTAAAGTTTGATAGCTTCTCACATTATCATTGTAATTAAGTTCAAGGTATAACGCCGTTTTCCTTCATATTCGACCAAAGTCCTTCCCATAAAGGAACCTTAAACTGCTTAACGAGATTCAATACCGTTTAATTGGCTGCATATTGTCAAACGCTGCTGTCCGTCTTGTCCTGCAATTATGGCCTCACCCCGGGACCCCGGATCCTCTAATAAAAAAGACGCACAGACCTTTTACTCCGGCTAATCTGAGGCTTGGCTGGGTTGCTTTTGTAGTTCCGACTCCATAGCGGTATATGGTCACAATGACTGACCTAACATAATCATTTTCCTAAAGTCCTCCAAAAAGCTGTTCCTAAGCAGGCAGACAAACGAGTCATAGACACGCAAAAAAACCACTAATAAATATTGTACTTTTTGTATTAATGTGTGTGCGTAATCACGGAAAAATAAACGTTTGACTACAGATTTAAAATTAAATGTTAATTTATCTAGACCATCGAAAGATATAACTTTAGCCAAAACGACCCAATGATCCACTTACTTTTTGCTCACGCTGATTTTGATGTTTTCATAATGAACGAAGGTTTCTCCGACCTTTTTGAAAACTTGTCCTGCCTTAACTAGCCTATTTGTACCCTACCTACTGTATGCATGTCCACGCAGATGTGACCAAGATCCGATTCTCGTATGCCATTCAGAAGATCCGGGATTAAAGTGTCAGATTTCTTATATGCATATTTATAAACGTTACCTATTAAGTTCAAAAAGAGCAGCTAGACCAAGGAAAAACTTGTGAATTTTTGGGTTACGCAGTACGTATAACCTACCTGTATACAGCATTATTGTTAAACGAGTGGTCTGTCATAGTCACAAATGACTTGCAATTTAACAAGACAAGTCAAACCAGGAGAACGAGGCAAGATTCCCATGGGATTAATCCATTGAAATTTCTCCCAAAATCCATAAGGAAACCTTGATCACCTCTAAACAAACACTATTATTTATGTCCCGAGTATTTTCAAAATCATATCATCAATCCTTATAATCTGACAAGCATGTTCGGCACACTTTGCCCTTCTGCGGTAAATAGTGTGGAGTATTACGGCTGACACTAATCTAAAATACAGTCCATCAATAACGATTGAATGCCGAAACATTTCGGCTACGTATTATTATACTTAGACAATTACGCAATCGGATTTTGCTGGAATTCTTGCATTTCTATTTAAATGATAATCTATATTAAAATTATTATATTTTATCTATCATCGTTTGAAGTTTTTGAAATGTTTAATCATGAAGTCGGCCACCATCTACGAAGATAGTAATCATTCGAAGTAGATGGCCGACTGAAGCGAAGCGTTTAAACATGGAGCGTCATGAAACATGGTCTTAATCGGGAATTATTTTAGTATAGCGGTGTATTTTATATATACACACATATGGGCTCGCTATACGCGTTCGATCTGAAATGGGTCATTAAACAATAAAATTCCTTCAGACAAAACAGACATGAGGAAAGGGAGAAATATATGCTGAATTTTATATAGCTATGTTCATAACAAATTACCAATAAGGAGAAAAACGCATTCATTAAGTATTATTTGCCACCAGCTGCAAATAAACTAAAGACAACTTATTGAAACATGCATTTATTACAGTTATAATTACATTTTTCATATTTACAGAGGGCATAGAAAATGAAAAAAATGGAAAAATGCGCAAAATGCGACATTACTGTTTTTTGTCTGCTTCTCTTGTTATAGCTTTAAAAACAAAATGCTGCCAGAAATGTATTTATAGAGTAGGCCTATTTATACAGTTACTTCACATGTATTTTAAGTAAATCATCACAATACTTATATAAATATTCACCCCACATTATCTAAGCGCAATCGCTATATATAATGAGCAAACTCATTATATCCTCCTGAGTCCCCACCCATTCATTTATGTCCATTGTAGTGGACATGTTGTTTTTGCATTTATCTTTTCACTGATGTAAGGACACATATTTATTCCTGTTGTACACTAAAGAGGACATGCTGTGAAATTAAAAATAAAAATAAAATTGAAAAAATCTAAATTGTAAGATGTCTTGTTTCCTCCAAAGACAAATAACCTATAATTGAAGGACACTTTTTTCCTTGGGTCTCAGGAGGATATAACTATTTTGAAATATGGTCATGTTAGAATATGGTCATATTAAATTTATCTTCAGCTCTCACGTTGTATTATCAAATATGTGCGTTCAAGCTGTAATAGATCAACTGAAATGTCAAAGTTGATGAAACTTACTAAAACTGCAAGTGAATCCCAGAAATTTCCATAGATGCTATTAGTCATAGTAAGAGGAATAACAATAATCCTGATAATAAAACATAATTGAGAAATGCTAATATATACGTTTGTCGGGCCACCAGTCGATCCGGATACTTGTGCATAATTTTTACCGTTAAATTACTTTAAATCATACGAAAATATCACATATAATCCATTATTAAATGTATTAAACTAAGAGCTAGGCTACATATTAGGATTAAATGAGGAGTCATTATTGTGTTTCCTGTTCCTAATGAATTGAAGCAATTACCACCACTTAAATACAAATACACACTAATTATTTATATGTCATCATGATGGTAATAAGCGCTACTTCCAATTCAATTAGGTGAACAATTTAACAGTGACCTCATAAATTATGTCATTTACAAAATTCGCCCCACCCCCAGTATTTTATGAATGGAAGCGTCGCTGAATCCATTTTAAATCCAGAGGACAATATCTCAACAGCGCATCTTCTTGAAAACCGATTTCTCGGGTAGACCATGTTCTCAAAGCATAAAACCATCTTCTTTCAGCATTTCAGCGTAGGTCTATATCTTAGCTTGGGACAGGCAGCATCCACCATATGAAGATGCAAAGTCCAAAGTGCCGTATTAATTGATAGGCCTACTTGTTTTGCTTAATTGGACCCGCTTAATAAAAGAGACCTCTGCAAATACATAAATAATCAAGTACAATACATTAAGACAAAATTAATAGATTCTGCGGCCCCATCAGTACGCCATATATGACATATGATGATGCGCAAGAAAAAAAAACTCCGATGAGAAGAACAGGATGATCGCTCCCTTCCCGAAAAAGACGCAGCCCGAAGGAAACTCCCAGTAGTGCTTTAAACGCGAACCCGGCAGAGCAGAGGGCTACAATGAGAGTGCTCGACGCAGGGCAGCCAATGGCCGGGTGGCGGCGGGCGTGACGCGCGCTCCCGGTAGAAAAAGGCGCGGGTGCAGGAGAGGCGTGGAGCCGCGAGGAAACAGCAGGGCGAGGAGGCCGCACCGGGAGCCTCCAAGGGGATTTACACGGAAAACTCCTCCTCCGCAATTATACAGAAAAAAGGGAGGGGGGCCTAAAAAATAAGAAAATAGCTACGTTTCAGCCGTTCCGAGCACGGCGACCTTCCCTTACACGCTGGCGTTTATTTATGTGTATTTTCAGGATGCTAATTTATGATTTGTTTGATTTTTCTTATTAGAAGTAAAATATGAAAAAGCTGGACTCGCGACACAGCCGACAGATTGGAGCCGCAATCTGTGTCGCGTTCTTCTTAATACAGTGACAAATTGTCAAAAAAAAACTGACAGAAACAAAGACACGTTCCTGCCAAGTGCATCATTCATTGTTGTTTTTCTACTGTTACTTTGGGAATATTTTGGCACAGTTTGTCATTGTTTGTTGCGTTGATGAATTTCTGCTTTTTTGGGGCTGACGTAAGTGCAACCTCAAGGCTTTCATTGAGCGGTCTCTTTGCTGGAAATTATTATGCAATAATAAAAATATTTAATAAAAAATAAAGGAATCGCCTTCCTGACAGTTCACAGACACCGGTGATTCGTCTGAGGGATGGTGCCACGATTTTGACGCTGCCGTGTAATTTAACGATTTTTCCAGAGGAACGACTCTTCTGGGTTTTTGTTTTCATCTTTATATGTCTGATAACCAGAAGGGGGAACTTCAGATGTATTCGAGATTGCAAAGAGAATCTTTGGAATTAAATTTTAAAAGACAAAATTGAGTTCGCAAAACGCATCAGGCCATATAACCATCTTGTAGTTTTTTTTCTTGTGCGTGTAATGTTTTTTATCGTTTACTTTTTGGTGATTTGTATTTGACCTGGATTCCTGGAGTGGGGCTGCATCTCGGCATCCGATGCATGCCCCTGGCTTGCGGCTCATGGAAGTTTTTGGGCTGCAGGGTTCAGGAGAACCAGCGCAACATCCATCCATCAGCCGCCGCGATGCTTTTCCACGGCTTTCCCGGAGGTGAAGCGCATGGTGTCTGTGAGATGGAGCGGAGAGGAAAGAATGAATCTAGCGCGATCAGCTCGGCCATAGACATGGGAGAGACCGACACGGTAGGTGAGCCGGGAAGAGGCTCCACCCGGTATCACTCGGGTTTAAGGTCTTGTGAAAAAGCTTGATTTTAAGTACCCAGGGCTCTGCACACTAAAGTATTCCATACAAGGAAATATGTTAACATTGGATCTTGAGTTCCATCTGTAGCCTAGATGCTGGAAAGGCTATATATCCTGTGAGAGTTTTTGTGATAAATATTGTCAATATTTAACTGAAATGCCCTAATAAGCCATTCGATGGTATAGATTCACTATGGCTAACAGTTAGGCCCATATAAACCCTGTAAGTAGATGACCCACTAATAGTTAAATCACTGTAAATATTGTAATAGAGAGACAGTTGTAGAATTTAAGTGTTGTATTATCTTACTATAATTTGACGTAAACCAGGTGCCCGATTAGTGCTACGACAACTGAACCCCGAGCGAAGGCCGGGATATTCTAAAGAATCCGTGTAGTTGCAGTATCATACTATATTTACTGTTATATGAACACCTGCCCGTTTTCTCATTAATGATAATGGTTATAGATGCGGTTTACATTTCGTTTTTTCCCCCCAAAATCACAGGCCTATTAGAATGAGTGAAATACAGGATGAAGAAAAGCTCACAAATTCTCACATAATTACGCAGATAAGCGGTCGCATATAAATTCATTTTGGTTCTGATTTCATGATATTTATGGAGGTCCATTAAGGCTTTTGTCTAATTATAAATTCAATTGGAATGTACTTCCTCTTTATACCGTTGTAATGGAGGAACGCTAGTATGTGTTCCGGTTGTTTATGATTTTAACTTATTGTATATATTCGCCTATATCATCATTTGAATCGAAATTCTGATTGTTTTCTATAAATGCTACAGGCAGTCCAAATTTATCAGTTTCTATAAAAACCCGTTAATTTCAAGTTTTGCCCTTATCCAGTTAATGTGATATTGTATACCAAACAGGCCTGTAGTAGCGCAGAATTACTCAGGCAGTAATAAGAACCGTCACAGCTGTTAACTCAAGTTGAAATCGCATTGCATCCGATATACAGAGGGTGTTTGGGTTTTTTGTAAATATTTAAGTATAGAAAGTTAATGATTATGCTACTTAGTCACTTACTCCTAAATTCGCTATATATATTATTGTGTTATTCAAGAATGGTTCTTGTAAATGCAACTTAATTTATATTAATTAGGCCTATATTTCATTGATAAAATAGATTATCTTGATCGGACCTGTTGCTTATTTAAGATTTTAGAAGTAGTACCCGTATTAATAAAATGGCTTCGATTAATGGGCAATGACTATTAGTTATTTCATTGTATGCGGGTCCCGGTTTGTAATTAATAACACAATCGTCGTTGCACGGTTTGCAGTTATGTTTTAAAAATGGTTTCGCAGGATATGAGCCCGGTGGACGGCGCGCGAGCGGCTCTTTGTGCCGGCTGCCGGGGGACGATCTCCGAGCGCTACTATCTGCTTGCCGTGGACCTGCAGTGGCACATGAGCTGCCTGACGTGCTGCGAGTGTAAACTGAAGCTGGAATCCGAGCTCACCTGCTTCAGCAAGGACGGCAGTATCTACTGCAAAGAGGACTATTACAGGTGTCTTAACGGCAACGGGCAAGAGTGTTATTAAAGCAGTCGTTAGATCTATTTTCTGAGCAACAGTAGGCCTATATATACGTACATATTGAATATTTTGCCCTGGGATCATTAAAGTTTATGTTATCTTAATAATCTTTATAAAAGTTAGGATTGTTGTCGGATTCCTTCTGTGTTCAGTTCGCCGACACGCACTCTCTCGCCCTTCAGGAGATTCTCGGTGCAGCGCTGTGCCAGATGCCATCTTGGGATTTCCGCCTCGGAGATGGTGATGAAAGCGAGAGACCTGGTCTATCACCTGAACTGTTTCACCTGCACAACCTGCAGTACGATGCTGACGACCGGCGACCACTTCGGCATGAAGGACGGCTTGGTGTACTGCCGCGTCCACTTTGAGACGCTCGTACGCGGGGAATACCAGGAGCGTTTTGATCCAGCTGACGTGATCTCCGGTAAAACCGACCCAATGCCTTCGAGGGTCCCGTATTATAACGGGGCCGTACAGAAAGGACGCCCGCGGAAAAGGAGAATCCCCTCAACAGATGCTGACCTGGCCAAGTACAGCGCAGGTAAACTTGCCTTACAGTCCGCGTACAGTGACATGCATATGGTCGGAGGACCTGTCATTGCTAAGGACCATGGAAATGGACGATTCCACCACTGCACAGCAAAATGGTTTAGTCTGCGATCGATATGTAGGCTGCAAAAATAAGTACATGCACCCTTAATTTTTCTAGCTGAAGTGTAAATGTGATTATAAAGCAATTTCTGAAACTTAAAAATCTTGGATCACGTGAAATTGCCACCTGAACGAATAATATCTGCTTTAATTTAACTTACCAATTGTTTTGCATTACTAGAATTTAGGTAGCCTATGTAAAATATATATAACCTTATGAATAGAGCTTATTTTTTCACATGATATCCACACAAATTTTACAAGTCATCTATTGGGTTTTCATATACTTTAAAATTGTATTAATATAGCGTATTAACGTTTAAATGATCAAATGACAAAACAAAACATCTTAATTAAATTAGTGTTAAATTAGTTGCGACAACGGAGTATAACATATTTTCCTTCATAGAAGCCCTAATGTATGATATATATTTTTTTTTTAATGAAAAGAAAATACCCTTTGTGACGGGGCCAGTAGGGTGGAGCAGTGATTAGCACTGTTGCCTCACACCTCTGCGACCAGGGTTGGAAATTCCATGTGTGTGGAGTTTCACCGTCGTCGTGGGGTTTCCTCGGGTACTCCGGTTTCCCCCCATAGTCCAAAAACATGCGGAGGTTAATTGGCGCTACCAAGTGAGCGAATGGTATGTGAGTGTGCCCTGCGTTGGGTCGGCGCCCCATCGACTCTGGGATATGCGCTAGATCCCCGTGACTCCAAATAGAATAAGTGGTTATAGAAAATGGATGGACATTTTGCGAGGCTTAGTTAGATCCAACGATTACGTCATGGTAATATCGCGGACGGAGCTCGCAAGAGGCGGGGAAAATTGCGCGTCCATTGCATCGGATAAGTCGAGGAAGAAATATACAGCCGTCGTTTGAAGGCCTACCCATTATTTAAGTATAATGCGTATAATCGTCTAAGGTCCGGTGGCATTGCCAGTGTGTAGGAGTAACATTGTCGGCTTGACGTTGTTTGAAGGTATTTTCATAATTAATAATATTCGGAACAAGGGCGTAGGAACCAGGCGAGACAGGGAGAACATGTAGGAACAGGGGGACTTGTACCCCCCAATATTTCATTTGGCTTCATTCGTCCCTAGAAAAAAACAGAACTTTACATTCAAATTCAGTTGCGTTCCCCTCCCAATATCAAATTCTATTTTACCTCATTGATTGCCATCTTGCATTAAATTCAGATTATTATGCAATGTTTAAATAGCATTCTACTGCATCGTCGCATTGAAAACGTCACATTTTAATCGCAATTTGTCCGTAAGAAAGGTTCACAGACGCATGCAGGCCTCCCGGTCGTGCTGTCCCTCGGTTATTCAAGCTCCTCTCATCTGTTTGTGCTGAGGGTCAAACAGAAGTGGGACGTCGCTTCGGCAGAGTTCTAAACTTCAAAAGACTAAAATAGTGAAAGATCTGGAAAGGGGGGCTCGAAGGACTTGGCAGGTTTATGATTTAAGCGAACCCCCACCCCCTGCTTGTTGAATGACGGTTGGGAGAGTTTCTGGGTCAGTAAATCAAAGTCTGTTTAATACAGGCGCACCTGTAGTGTATTCTGGGTAAAACCCTTTTATACACATAAAGCGAAAACCTTGACAATATGTGCTGATAGATTTTGTTTTCCTTTAATAAATCCACACTGACCCGGTCCATAAAACACACATTTTTGGTTAAATAATTTGTCTTAGTCTTGACTAATCATTTAAGGGTCTTTTCATGTTACTTACAAAACTCTGAGTCACGTAAATACATATCAAGCCCAGGGAAAATATGACATAGGCCTCATTATCTTATTTAAAAAAAAAAAAACCTTGAACGTCAGAGTATTTTCTCTCAAAACAGAGCACAATATTTGTCACAATAACACTTCCAAACATTTTCCGTTATTTCATGTATTTTAACTTGGTGTTATAGGAACGCTGACTAATATCGTTATTAAAAATAACAGGGAACGTCTTCATAGAATCTTATTGATCGTAGGCGAATCTAGACCCTGTAATAAGAGGCTTCGGCCATTCTGTTTTTTGTCTCATCCTCCCCGAAAAATTATTATTCTAAATCCATTAGCGATTTATTCCCCAGTCAAATTGTTGTTGTTGTACTGTAGTAATACTAACAACTATAATAACCTAATTATTTTGCTAAAATATCACCAAAATAAACGTATAGTCAGCCTAGAAGAAAATGCAAACCTCTTGGGAAAGGCGGTAATTCGCATTATAACAAATTCATTTGCCTTCAGCTAACCAATGGTTTGCCTAACATAACGGCAGCTTAATAAAACACCATCCACATTCAGCCTAATTAACCGCAGCACATAAACCCCGGTGTGATTATATTTTACCTCGAAAAGGGTAGCATGGCGCAATGTGTAAATGGGCTTCTCCGAGTTTATAGGGACGCATTCACATAAGAGTTCAAATGATTAGAATCTGTTCCAAAGACATGAATTCTTAGCTTTATGGCGCTTTAACGTCGAAGAGATGAAGATTTTTTCAGCTATAAAAAGAAATCAACTCATGCCCATTCCCGGTCATATTTATTTGATTGATATAAACGTAAACTACTGTATGCTGTAGTTGGTTGACCAAATTGTCCCTTGGAGCAGGGTGGCATCGCTACGTCGGTATACAGTGCCTCATACCGGCGCTGGTTGGATTATAATTTACTGTGTGTGGCGGAAGGTCTGACTGATTTCCTTTGTAAAGGCGTAAATGTAGGTGCTCGACAAAATTCCTAAAACGGCTCACGCTGTTTAAATAACGCAATTTAAAATTACATTAAATTACATATGGCAACGCGTCTAAACTGGGACCATTCCCCGTTTTTGCGGTGCATTGGGGCTTTGAAGCTCTGCTGCCGCCTAGTGGCCACAAAACAAACCCGGGATGCGGCATATGGTTCCTGACATTGCGGGTGTGAACTGTAATTACGTTGATATGTATTTACGGAAATTACTCGATATATATACCTTATAAAGTGAAATAATGAAAGGATCCGAAAATATGGCATTATTAAGAATAACATGAATTATATGGCCTAGCTAAGTGGCGTATTGGGGGTCTTATATCAAGCCAGACTTCCTCATTTCCTCGTAACTTGGGCTTCATATATACACTCACCTAAAGGATTATTAGGAACACCATACTAATACGGTGTTTGACCCCCTTTCGCCTTCAGAACTGCCTTAATTCTACGTGGC